GGGGCCATAGTCTGGTTCTGCTGGAGGTAAGAGGGATTTTTCATCTTCGCTGTCGCTACATGAATGCTCGGGTGTGAGGGATTGCTGAAGGGTCAACGACAAAATTTAAACGAAGGTTGTCGCCGCAAGCTCATCCAAGAGGATCATGTCTTGCAAATCAATGAGTGGAAGGAATCAACTGGTTTTCCTAACCAACTTCACTGTATTGTATCTGTAAATTGCCTTCAGTTGAAATGTAAATTGGTGCTATATAAATAAACTGAAATGAATTAAATTTAAAGGTTATTAAGTCTTATTTATTTCATTAAAGAACCCTATAAATGTTTAGGCAGGAATACATAACACACAACATCTAGTACAAATCATTGTCTTGCCAGGTTAAACCCTTCCTGCTGTTCATCAGTAACTGATCTGTTTGATATTGTTGAGGAGTTGACTTTTTCTGCCTTTTTCACTGTTTTTCATTGTGCATTGTTCTAAAATTGGGCCACGGCTGACTCAGGATTTTCAAGTTGACAAAGAGTCAACATCTTGGACTGATTCATCACCATGCATTGGAATAAATGTCTTTGTCCACTCTAAAAATGGGTTGTTCTCACACAGATCTGCATCTGATTTCAGAAGTGTGTCAGGTTAAAAACTCCTAATAGTTTGCCATTTTTTCCTGATTCCCATGGTTGTGTAGATTACAGCTGGGTCCTTATTTTTCTTTCCACCTGTGGTGCTTCTTACCTTATCTCCTCTTAGGCCACGATCTCCAACTCGACCGGGTATTCCCTGTAAAACACAACAGGCAGGTAATAGTGAACATTAGGTATCCTGTGTGCTTTTTTTTCTTCTTCTAAATAGCTTGTTAGAGGTAGTTTTAAATGTTAACCTGTTTTCCTTCAGGGCCCGTTGGACCAGGTGGACCCTGTAAAATAAAAGGTTTGATTAATTACAGCTGGGTCAGTTTGTTTTTGACCAATTTAAAGTAATATTATGAACCAAGTCCTCACCGCAGGTCCCTTGGGCCCACTGAAGCCTGGTATTCCAGGGTTTCCTGGTTCTCCTTTGTCTCCTCTAAGGCCCTGTTGGACAATGGAAACACGGCTCTTCACCACATAAGTACCTGTAACTGCATCTGAAAAGCCCCTCCATAACTGTGGACTCAACAAGTTTACCATTCAGCTACATTAAGCTATCTGGATACAAACCTCGGGGGAAAATCCTTCGACTGGACAAGGCCAGCCTCCAAAGTATCAAAATTCATTATTTCCTCTCTCCTTATCCTCTATTAACCTTTCTAAATCATGAATCATGCCCCTCCTCCTTCCTTTAGGGAGCTGGGGATTGTTTCCTCCCTCTGCTGACTGATATGATCTTCTTCTCTCTGCTCTGATAACTGGTTCCCTCTCCACTTATAGCCACAATTTAATTCTGTTAAGAGAGCAGAATTAAGTGGATGGTCCTTTATCCAACTCTTTTTCCTTCTGTTGCACAAAATCCAAATTCAAACATTGACATAAAATCCTAATTAAATCATGACCTAAACCAACTGTAGGCTTGAATGTCATTTCAATTTAAAGATGGGTTTTAAAATATCTTTATTTCACCATGAAGTCAGGATTCTGCCAAAAGTGCAAATTAATCTAAAACAAGCATGTAAACTACTGGCCACACAAATCTGGGATTTTTTTTTTCAGCTTTTATTGTCATTGCACTTGTTGCTCGTTTTGTATTGTTTTAAATCTATTCAGTGGAAATTGACACAATAATTGTGCTATAATTAATTTGCCATATACTTTTCACACTTCCAAAGAAGTAGTTGTTCAAAACAGTTTTATAAAATAATAGGATCATAACTTTTATGTAATCTAATGAGAGAAATAAAATAAATAATAGATTAAAAACAATAAGTATTTGTGTTGCGGTGCTCATATGTTTATTTATTAATCATTTAGGAGCACATGGGCGTAGGTTTGCATAGACTGGAAAAAAGAAATCTAGATAAGTCATTTTTTTCTTAAAATAAGTGCGTTTGTTCTTAGATTGAGGAGGTCAAAGATACATTTTGCCATTGGAACAAGACAATTTACATTTAAAATAAGAAAACACTATTGCATTGTCTTATTTCAAGTGCATATTATCTAATGATCTTATTTTAAGAGAAAAAAAAAACATTCCATTGGCAAACTATTTCATTTACCTTCTCAAATTTAGGAAAAATACACTTAATTTAAGACATTTTTTGCCTATTTCTAGATCGTTTTTCCAGTGTAGGGACATATCCCTACCAAAATTTTGGACCAACCTATTTGTCCCTACCAATAATCTGATTTGAATAACATGTTTATGTTACATTTCAGGGTGGTGGATTCTTTTTCTCTCGCAGCTCCACAGCTCCGTAGCTGCTGCTGCCGCTCCATCTTGCTGTCTTTCTTGTCCCTTAAAGTCAGTAACTGTACTGCTTAGCTTCCCTCTCATTGGTTTTTCTGCCTCAAGTTCCGCCTTCTCTCCTTCTGATTGGCTGTTTTCTGGTCCGTATGCGTGTATGCATGCTTGGAGCACGAAATAAGAATTTTATTAACGCTAGTTTCTTCAAATAATATTAGGCTACAAAGCTAGCTAAAATTAAATAATTCTATCTACACTAAAACGGGTGAAAGCTGCTGATTGGTGATTCTTAGCCACAGTAAACTGAAAAAGAAAATGTGAGGGTTTCCCTTTTAACAATACTTCATTGCAATTACTGTTTTCTTTTATGACGACCCTTTGAGGCACTTCAGCTATAAATAGCTGAATAGTTTCACCTGTTTAACTTTGCACAATTATATATCTTCAAAAGAAAATACAGGATAAATCCACATATAACGGGCATATTTAGACTATATTTGGTTAAGTTGGCACATATTTACCTACTTTCTTAGTCACTGGTAGTTTTAAATGCAAACCTTTTCAAAGTGGAAAAAAGTCCTAATTTCTCATTCATCAGAGCCTGTGATGCTTCAAACATTGATAAACAGCATCTAGTGTGTGTAGTGATTATAAAATTAGTACAAATGTAGCAAGAAATGCTGCTTTTCTCTTTAAACGAAATACACCCTGATGCTCATGTCAAGCATAAAAAAGCATGCAAATTTCTGCATTAGGTGCATTAGGTAATATTAATTAGACTTAGGACCAATATTGTCCCTACCAAAGTCGAAATCAAACCTACGCCCTTGTAGGAGCAAAAAGTGTTTTTAATTGAAATGGTTGCTTATTTTGATTTTTTTAATATAATTTTTTTTTTAAAGTGATTAGTCAATAATAGACCTTGTTATTAATTAGATTTAAAATGATCATCCAGTCCCATCACTTAGATAAACATAATAAGCATTAAGACAGCTTTCTACATTTAGGGTGCTAACATTGTTTTTCTAAATCACTAACATGGGATAATAAGGACTGCTTCAAATGTTAAATCCAGAAAAATGTTTGCCTTTTATTTTGCTAAAATAGTAAAATCTTGCAGAGCTAATTCTCCTCTCACACAACAACAACAACCTCTGCACTTTGACTAGTTGTTGGGGACCTTTTGGAGGCTGCTGACCTTTTCACTGGATTACTGCCTTCTAAAATTTGTATGAAGCTAAAGAGCAAAACCAGACCACAGACTAAAAAGGTTTGAATGTCTTTCTTTAAAGTTTCAGAGCAGTTGAAAGGCAGAAGCTTACTGGTGTTCCAGGAAGTCCAGATTTTCCAGATGGTCCTGGATCTCCTGGCTTGCCCTGTAATGTAATATAAGAATATTAATCAGACTGATGGAGCAGAAATGACCAATGTCAACTGTTATGTCCCTGATCTACAGCTTAGCTTCTCTGTCAAACACTCACCGGCTCTCCTCTTGGTCCTAGAAGTCCTTCTGGGCCAGGTGGTCCTTTGGGACCCTGTGAAAATCCAACAGTTTTTAATTGTACGGAGTGAAATTTGTTCCATTATTGTTGCAAGCGAATAAAATGTTTTATATGACAAAAAAAAGATGAAAAACATTTTAACCAAAAAATGGCTTAGAGAGTGAGTTTGCTGGTTTCTCAGATTTATATATTTAATTTTTCCTTTTTTCGATATTTGTTTTTTTTTAGGGAGGGGGGGTTCACTGATCACATTCGGTTCACCTCAAACCCAATCCAAAAACACTTGTGCTTGTTTCTAACATCAATGCAGACCAATAGAAATGCATCTTTGCTCCTCACTCCAGAGGAAAGCAAGAAAGAAAAGAGAGTGGTAGAAGGCAATTCCTAAAAATCTAACAACCGGAAATTTGAGAAAACAGAAAATATAAAGAGAATTTAAAATGAACAAAAATTAAATGTTAAATAAAAAAAAATCAAACAAAACTTGTAAAACACTTTTATGAAAATATAACATTTGGAAAAAAGCACTTTCATTCCAAAAAACATTTTACTATTTGTATTATGCATAAATATCCATCCAGGAAGCTTTTTCAGTTCAAAATGTCTGCTTACTGGAAAGGAAACTTGGAAAACAAAGTCCAGTGGTTTGTTTTTTAACTTTTAAAAAAAAAACTTTTTTTAGAATGACTATGACTTGGATGACTAAGAGTCTTCACCAACATTTTCAAAGTTTCCTTTCTGAATTTATTTTATTTTTGCAACAATAACAGAACAAAATTCTCTCCATATATACAAGACGAAAAGAATCAGATGTCTCAAGCCAAAAGCCTGACAATGATTTTAAAAATAAATAAAAAAAATAAGGCTTTTAGAAGAGATGCTGTGCAGCCTGTTAGAGTTAAATGTGGCCACTGCAGTCTTTAAATGTGGCTGCATCAGTTTGTCACTTGATGAATGGTAGAAACGCTGCCTGCAGCATCAAGCAGCAGCAGAATGTGCTGCTTGGATTTAGCTGCTTAAGGATTCTTGAGGAAACCTGAACAGTTTATCAAAGTTGGAGGTCTTGAGCCTCTGAGTCACCAAATGCATAATACAGGAAATCTTGTCTTCTCTTTAAGTAGATAACAAGGTGGTAGGAATATCCCATCTGGAGCTTGTTTGTGTTAAAATACAAAAAACGACTAAATATTCCATAGGTACTTGATGTGATGCTGAATGTTGTGTGTATTCTATACTTGTCTGTGTTTGTCTGTAATAATGAATTGTGAGACAGGAAGAGCTGGGAAGCGTTTGCTGTTTTCTGCTGTGTACTCCAGAGGTCTGGAGTACACGGCTAAAAGTGGCGCTGCAATAAATCAATGATCAGAGACTGATTCTCTGCTCATTGATCTCCATGTCCCGGTTGCTGTTTCAGGTAAACCGTTACTGTATGTCTTACTAGATTTACTGTGAGTTGCTCTTCAAATTGTTGGACGATGATCAGAACTGTCCTGTGTGAAATTTTGAGAGTTTTTTTTTTATAAACGTATCCTGCGCTAAACATTTCTCGTATTTCTTCCCTCTTCTCTAGAAATATCTCATGTTGTTTGATAATAATTTAACTTAATTGATCTCACATTGGAGATATTCACCTCTTCATTTAACCCATCCCCCTTTGGGAAAAGTGGGCTGCCATCGTGTGGCACCCGGGGAGCAATGTGGGGTTAAAGTCGTAGGGAAACGGCTGTTCCAAACATTGCAGTTCCGAATTCTTCCGAGTGGTGCCCGACTTTACATGAGTGAATAAAGTGAATGTGATTGGTCGATTGTCAAGGGGGCGGGATTGTTGTGGCAGAAGGTTCGCAAGCAAGTTTGGTTGAGGTCGGTTTGTTGGAAGCATCTTGCTAACCAGTTAGCAACTTAGTGCTAGTAGGTTCCCAATGGGAAATTCCATTGGGACCAAGTAGCACTAAATTGGTGACTTGGAAACGACACTGTCAAGGAACGCTATGGACAGAGGAAACATGCAAGATAGTTTTGTGTTGGAGGTCGTGGATGAGTCTCCTCCATCATCCATGTTTTATTTAAAGGAGGAAAGCGGGGATGGAGATGTTGTGGAAGAGGACGCCAGGGCGGCAGAAGCTTGGTTTGGTGTAGAAGGCTTCCAGCCGTACATGTTTGAGCNGTAGAAGGCTTCCAGCCGTACATGTTTGAGCCCTTGCCTCGCAACGCTGCCAGTTCTGTTAGCTCTACGCCTGCTGAAGACACAGACATCCATCCCCGTGAACACTGGGACGGAACTCAATGGGAAAGGAAATTATTCTTATTTATTATTTTAACTGTTGCGACATGTGAATAAAGACGCTATGACCGAAAAAATTTGATTCAGATTCAGATGACCATTGATGTATGACTGGCCAAATTTAGGTGTACAGGCTGACGTATAACTGCATAAGATAATGAAAAAAAAAAAACACGGATTTTAAGATTTTTTTAAATAGAAATTTTCTACATTTTTGGACAATATCATCTGATAAAGAGTAAGTTTATATACATGTTTGAGCAAAAATGATTTGACATTTAAATATGATTTCCCTACGACTTTAAGGGTCTTGCTGAGAATGCCAGAGTAGCAGTCTGTGGGAGTGGGGAACTCAGAACCTCAGGATTCTGTACCATAACCACGTTTAAAAGTTCTTGGTTGCACTTGATTTAGTTTCATAAAAATGTTAGTTTCACAGTAAAAATGATCCCTATTGTATCAGAATAAAGTTAAAAATACAAACTACTCTAATAGGTTTTACATACCTCCTTTCCAGGTTTGCCGTCACGTCCTGCTGACCCAGGCTTCCCATCCTCTCCCTGTGATGCAAATTAAAAAATACACAGAGTGGATAAATACATACAAAACTGTTTCTAACCATGTGGGACAGTGACTTTAAAAATAAACTGCAGTTTAACTGGAAACTACCATAAAACTCTGGGCCAAGAAAACTCTCCCAAATATGACTTTTAAACTCTGCCTTCAGGATAACAGTGTGCAGAGATATCACCTGGGTGACAGTTAATGTCAGCAACTATAAGCAGTGTGAGCTGAGGCTCAGGGTCTATAGCAACGATTTACATTTCTCTAATAAGATGGCTGCACTGCAGACTGGCGACAGCTGCTGCAGAGCCCACAGGCTGGCGGCCGCGCTGCGGCACCCTCAGAAGCTGTCTGTAATGAGCCATGCCATTGTTCACATCTCTGTGGCTCCGTTTGTGCTGCTGTGAGCTGAGCTGCATTAGAGGCAAAGCAGCAGGTGTGTTGGTTCTGCTAAAGGAGGCGTGTGTTGGGAGAATAAAAAGAAATGGATGTGTGACAGGTCTAGTCTGACATCGCAGTGTTACTTCAGAAAACAGGGAAAAGGATTAACATTTACGATAATAATAATAATTGGAGAATAATAATAAAAAAAAAACCTACTTCCAGCTCTTCAGTGATTAAAAGTGAAAATTCCATTTCAGTTAGTTTTAATAATATTTTTAGTTGTTTCAATAAAAAATTTTTATTCCAGGCCTGAAATGATTTGTTTAAAAAATATCAAGGTGATGCATGACTGCATGTGATGTGATCATTTCATTATTGGCATCATGCAGCACCATAAGCAAAGCTGCTGTTACAAAAATAACAGTTTTAATTTATGCAAAGCTAAATCAAAATGAGCTAATTATAAAACATATGTGGATTTTATTTGCATTAACTACAAAGACATTTCTATAGAAGTCTTAAATTATGTTATATCTCTATGGCCAATAAAGAAAGTTAAACTAAAGAGTAGTGTTGTGCCGATGCCATTTTTTGGCCCCGATACCGATACCCAATACCTGGCTGTGCAGTATTGGCCGATACCGATACCATCTGTTTGAAATTGATGTGTGTATATATATATGAAAAACTACATACTACTTGGATGTATAATAATTGCCATCATGGCTTTGTCAAGCTGCTGTCTACCTTTGTGACGCAGGTAAAAGACTAATACAAAGTGAATCCAGTAGAACTTTTTATTGCCTTCCTGGAATGGGTGACAATAGTTGAATAAACTTTTGGCTCTCAAAATGGTCAGTGCCCTGTTTGTTGGTGCTCGGCAATAGCGATACCATTTTAGAGCAGTACCAGGGCACTGCCCGATACTGGTATCAGTGCAACACTACTAAAGAAAAATATGGATTTACAAAAGTATAAAATTCATTGATGTTAAATTAAAAGATCAAACAAAACTGTTCTTTGGAATAATATGTCAATATGCACCAATAATTCAGGAATATTTCTTACTTTTTGGTGTATTTTAAATGAAAATTATCGTTTTTAGATCAAATGAGAATTATAACATACTTAAACTAATAAAAACAGCGGTAACACATTAAACTCTTCTTTTTAGGTAGGTCCAAAATAACTTTCCGCAGATTAAATCTGTGCTCCTATCTGTAAACAACTGAAAGTATCACCTTTATTTTCAAAGAAAATTAAAACACAACTGTAGATGAATTCATTACAGACACTGTAATTAACCAAATTAAACACTTTGATTGAGTCCCACCACTTGCTATTATTGATCTTCTCTAACTCACATCATTGGTTTTAGTCTCACAAATCCAGCCAAAATGTGCATGTTGGCCCTTTAGAATAGAGAATAGTAGACTGAAGGTACTTAATGGGCCCACTTGAATTGACTGAACACAACCCATATTTGCACCAAGTCAGATCTTAACTACTATAAGCAATTTAGTTTCAACTAATCTAATATGCACTGTAGTCTATGTTTTTTTTTCACCATTTTTTAAACACCTTGAAGCCTAAAAGGCTGGTTATACTCCTGCAGCAGTGTGTCGCAGTGAACTTGTGGCAGATAATTTTGATTTATTCCCAATTTTGAAGCGTGGTCTGCTCTATGTTATTCCACGCCACAAAGCAAGAGGGACAATCGCAAACTAGCTGTGGGTCTAGATATGGCAGAGCTGGTGAGGAAGTTGGGGCAAGTTTGTGTGACAACGGAGGGACATGAGGGCGAAAAAGAGCGGGGATCCAGGTGGAAAAAGTGTCCCGGCGTTCTAACGCACCTCGCCCTTCTAGTTGGTCCAACTTCATGAGTCGTTTTCCACAATGGCGGTCATATAAACAAAACAAGGTGTTAAGGTACCAAACAGGAAATATGCATAGTGTAGAGCTAATGTAGATCTGACCAATCAGAGGCCTCCTGTCTGCAGCACTGTCTGCAATCACCTTACTTTGTCTGTCTGCCGTCGTTATTTACAAACCTTACTTTTAGTTCAGAAAATCACGAATACATGACTAGGCATGCAACTGAAGGAAACTTTAGTTTGCCTAAAGTAAAGTCAAATGCCTTAAAAAGAACTGTTATGTATAGAGGTATGAAAGCATGGAATTTACTGCCGAATTACATTAAACTGATAACTGATTTAAGGAAATTTAAAAAATCATTGAAAGAACATTTATTAAATATAGAGGTAAAACACGATTAGGACTGTCTTCTTCACTTGCTGTGCTTTGTAGTTTGTTTTGATTAGTTTGGATTGTTTCTGTTTATGTATATGGGTATATATGTATATGTATATATGTATGTGTATATGTGTGTATGTATATGTATAGATTATGGGAGATGATGTTTTAATGTCCACATAATTTTATTTCATTTGTAATTTTTTTATTTCATGTTTTGTTGTTGGACCCCAGGAAGAATAGCTGTAGCTTGCTACAGCTAATGGGGATCCTAAATAAACTAAACTAAACTAAACTAAACTAAACCTACAGCTTTGGAGAGCTGCAGCATAGTGTCTGCAGAAGGGGCGGGGCATATCTGCGTTAATTGTGACACACACACAGACGACCTGGTTTCTGAGTATAAACTGGCCTTAACCCAGAGATAAATAAAAAACCTATAGACCATCTCTTCTGATCCATCTCATCCAGATGAAAATATATAGCTCAGGATAAGTAACACCATTATAAACCCCAAACGCTCCAGTTTATATTGATAAAAGGCCTTTAATTCTGTAGCGTTTTATCAAGCCATGGATTACATGGTTTTACACAACATTTAATCAATCAGCCATTGACACATAAGCTACAATGAAGCTACAAAGGCTGCTTTCAAATTCTTCATCCTCACTTTTAACCAACGACTCCATGTTATATTCAAAACTTAGAAAAAATTGGCTGTCCCCAAACGACAAATACCACAAATGTTGATCCAAAATGGGTCAGGATCAAAACAGAAGCATCGAGCTCATGGAACAACAGACAGAAAGATGCTAAAATAGTAAAGATGAAGCTGTGGATAAAACATGAGCTGCTTTTGCATTTTTCTTTTGATTTTTTTTAAATCTAATGTCTTCCCACTATTTATCCTTTAAAGGGGAGAGAAACTTTAAAATAGATTCATTACAGTAGTAACCATTCAAAATATCCCCACTTTCCTTTATGGGTCCTTGGCTGGTCCCCTTCAATTTCTTATCTTTGTACTAAAATATTCTTTTTGACATGATTTGTGGACATTAATATCTAAAGTGAAGCGCCATCTCCTGGTCAGATCCTGTAGTTCATGTGAGAGGGTGGAGTCGAGTGAAAAATATGCACGCCCAGGAGAAGGAAGGGGTCACCACAGAGGCTGGAAGTTGCAGGGGAATTTGCTTGGAGTTGCAGAGGAATCTGCTACCATTTGGCTGGCGTTTGACTGGGAAGGGCCATTTTGAATGGCTGCTACTGTATTAAAGCCCAACCTGCCAAATAGTCGGTTTAATAATTCCTTAAAGCTATCATAATATGCATGGCTAATTAAATGGCTGCAACAGTAAACTGTTGCAAACGATCTAAACTTCCCCTCTTGTAATCTTCTATCTAGAATTGGATAAAAATGTTAATACCAGCATCTAAAAACAACTTTTACCTTTGAACCTGGAAGTCCTGGCTCTCCTCTGTGGCCCTTGAAGCCCTGTGATAAAGGGCGGGAAGCAGAGTGTTTGTCTTTTTGTACCGTGGGAATGATCAAATCCAATTAGCGTTGCTCACTTACAGGGAGTCCCCGGAGTCCTGGGTTTCCTGGAGGTCCAGGTTCACCTTGCTTCCCCTGTAAAGAAATAAATGATAGAAATAGCTACAGAACAGCTAGATGTCTCTGTGCATAACACAGACTGAGTTTTATAGGTGGTGCTACACCAAATGTTAATGGATTAGTGTTGCCTACTTACAGGTTCTCCTGGTTCACCTGGTCTGCCATCTTTTCCTGTTTTTCCAGTTAGACCCTGAACATTTACAAAAATGCTGATTAGTATCCTCAGCAAAGCATCATGTCTTTTTTCTCAATAAAACACCATCAAAAAAGGTTGTCTTTACTATCATGCCAGGAAGACCCGGTGGTCCTTGGATTCCTTTGAGACCCTCTTTGCCCTGGAGAACATAAACAGGGTCACCAGAGAAAAAACAAGAAATGATTAATGGCTGCTATTACAGCTCATGGTGGCTGACCTACTTTCTAGAGGCAAAAGGTCTGTACAAAATGGCAAATGGGAAATAACTGTTTCATAGGGGGAAGGCACAACAAGTGCAGCCTGACCTTTTCTCCAGGGGGTCCTGGGGGGCCAACCTGTCCGGGCTGCCCATCGTTACCCTAAAGAACAAAGATTTAGAATCAATAGAGCTCAACAGAAATATCGACACCAAATGTAGAAGCAAATAACTTTGGTATACTATAAAAAACACTTACAGGAGAACCCATTAATCCTGCAGGACCCGGATGACCAGGGGGTCCAGGGTGGCCCTAAGATGACAGCAGCAGTTATTAACACAGGTTCCAGTGCCGCGACAAAATGTTTCTAAACTTTTCCACAGCACCTGATATTCTGTGCGATCAACAGTTACCAAACTGAGCGAAACCTAAATCTCATACTTGCTCGTTCACTGTGTGGCTGGTACACATTAAACTCTTACAAATTCTTCAGAGCACAGCTTGCTGTGCGATTAAAACCCGATTAAGAATGGAAAATCCGATTAAAATCCTAAACAGAAAAGTTTTGGATTTTCCTTTCTTTTTTTTTCTCTTTATTTTCCTTTTTTTCCCACTTTTCTTTTCCTTTCCTAAAATCCAAAGCAAATTTTTGGATTTTAATTATTATACTGGATTCTTGTATGAAGGGATTTGCAAAAATGTGCAATCATTAATGACACTACTACAACCATTGGTTTGGTTTCTGTTAATGAAGAGTTAAAATATCTGCTAATCTTTCTCATATCTTTTTAAAAGAGAATTCTCTAGCTGCTCCATCAGCCTGATTATAGCTAACAAAATAATCACACAAATCCCTGGTAATGTTCATTATCGTAACACAAGCAAAGGCTGTGAATAAATGGTGAAAAGGAATGTATTACTGTATATTGGTGATATATGAATTAATTGCATAGATATGTATGTCTGTGCATTTTCATTTTGAATTATTCATAAAATCTTACTTAACCTGGAATATTTTTTACATATATATATATATATATATATATATATATATATATATATATATATATATATATATATATATATATATATATATATATTGGATCATTTAAAATTCTTCAAGGGAGTAAGAAAACAATATGAGCCAATATTTTGTTTTATATACAGCCGGCATGATTTAACCAACCATTAAGCGGCCAAAAGATTGCAAAGGATCTTGGGCCACTAAGACCCTTTGTCGAGCCCCACGCACTTTATTTAAAACACACTTGTTTGTTATTCATACCCCTTTCCCACTGGCGAAAAAAACAGTTTAAACCAAAGAAAAATCGGCTTTAAGTCGCAGTGGCTCAAACAACTCGGCAATCGGCGCGGGTCAAAATGGCCTTCAAATTGCTCGGCTCCAATCGGTACATAGTAAGAACATTAATCACAGGTCGACCCCTTATTTTATGTGATACCATATAAAGCAAAGAACGTATGTCAATGATATAAGAAGCCAAATCAACTTTGCTTACATTCGATAAACATGGCTGAGCACTGACTGCCCTGGCTCCCTTCCATGTAGCTCTACATTGTTTACTTTCCTGATTTCCGTCCCACTGATAACATCATCAATGCTAACCCAGCGTTTACTAAAGTAACAGTAGGGATATTTTATTAAGATATTCATCAAGAAAAAAATGTAAGTGTTGTGCAATAAAACTACTTCTAAATTATATTTTTGTCAAAATTACCCAAGTTCTCAAGTAACTCAGTAAATAGAACTAGGCATTACCCAATTTGCTTCCAACTGAACAGAAACCCTCAACAGAACCAGATAAGATCATATCAATGTGTTAAAAAGGTTCATCCAAAGATCATAATCAAAATGTTCATGAGCTCTGTGGCAAGATTCTCTCCATCCGATCTCTAGCTGTGCGAAAGTGATGGAAACTATCAATATTTATTCATATTCTCTCTGATAGGAAAATGCATTGCTTCATTTGGACTTTTTGAAACTTTAGACTCAGTAAAGTTTTGGAAAGTTTCTTGTCCTTCTTATTAGAACTTTCTGCAGCTTTAACAGCCAATCTGCTCTCTACTGTAGCTAATTGATATCATTCACTAATCATATATTGTGTTTCCAATACGTGTGGGTTTGATATAAACTGGTGTTTACTCTCTGCTCAGATAACAAGCATCCATATATCCATCTAAATGTGCAGTCAGCTCGACATAATTGTGTTTATTTCGCAGCAGGTCATCAATAAGAGAAACCCCACAGGATTAGCCATATTAAAAAACACATTTACCTTTACTTGCTGTAAAAGTGTATTTAGCTGTAGTGTGAACTGAGCATACAGTAGTAAACACAAAGGCTCCAAACTTTTTAAAAGCAAAAGAACACATTTCTTCCACTTTACAAATATACGCCACTTGTGATTGTTTAACCCCTTAGAAGCCCAATAAACTGTACTTTGGGTTATGGTATAAAAGTGGAGGGGTTAGACGAATATTTAATTGTTTACTTCTGAACATAAGAAAAAGAAAATTAGTGACAAATTTACCTTGTCCCCTTTATCTCCAGGACCTCCAGGAGGTCCTTGATCGCCTTTTACACCCTGTAGAGAAACAGAAAAATACACGATTGATCCTTCTTAAAGTTCAAATCTCTGAAAAAGAATCTGTTTCTAAGTTAAGCTTTGATCTGTATCTTTATAGCATATATATATAGTCATCCAATCATATGTTTCAAAATTCAGCTTTCTATGGGGTGAACTTTGTTCCTATTATTGTTGCAAAGAACTTTTCGTAAATGAAAATTTGAAAGAAATGCAATCCAGAAATGATGCTTTAATAAACATCTTAATAAGAAAAGATACTTTTGAAAGTAACTTTGCTGTTTTCCCAGATTTTATGTTAAATTATTAAACTTTGTTTTTACCTTATTTACGGATACTATTGTTTAACATTTTATTATTATTTTTTCATTTCTCTTTTACAGATATTTTTTGGAATTGTAACTGATGCCATAAGGTGTCCGGGCTGCAGGCGCGCCACACTGAGCAGCATTGGGTAGAAGCATTTTATCAATCACTTTCTCTTCACTTCAAGCTCGATATAAAAGCTGGCTCTCGACCAATAGGAAGGCTGTTGCTAATGTTCACTCAGACCAATAGCAACGCGTCTTTCATTCCTCACTCCAAAGCAAAAGCCCGCCCTCAGAAGAGAAGAGAAAGTGATCTGGAAAACGCAGTTTGAAAAAGTGTAATTTGTAAAACTTAGTTTGAGAAAGACAAAATAAATGAAATATGCAATTTGAGAAAATATGATAAAAAAGAGAATATAAGAAAAAATAAAATCTAAGATAACAGCAAAGTTTACCTCATAATCTTTTTTTTTTCTTATTTAGAAGTTTTTTATTCTTTCATTTCTGAAATGCATACTTTAACATTTCCATCAACAGAACATGTTCTTTGCTTGAAACAACAATGTCACAAAATTTCCTCCATACATTTAAAATAAACAGGACAAACTGATTAGATGCCCCCACTGGAGCCCTGCAACTAAAGTCCCCGTTTAAACATACCTTTGTTCCATCAGCTCCAGGAGGCCCTTGAGGTCCGGATGGTCCAGGCGGTCCCTGTAATGGCAAAGCAAACCATCAGTCTCTGCCGAGACAGACAGAGCAGAGCACCACTTGGGTCCTAATAGTTTGCTATTGCCCCCATGAGAGGCGCAGCTAATGATGCAGACAGAACCTCACCATCCATCACTGCTTGTGTGACTGATGATGCCGGAGCTCCGACCTCATTCGTCACAAAGGCCGAATTTAGTGAAGACGCACTTTATAACACTCTCTTAAAGACGTGCAAAGGTACTATCACTGGTCAAAAGCTGCTATAATTGACTAAATCCCAGCCAAGGTCTTTAGAACTGGGAGACTATGATAATAGATTTGTCTTACTGGATATCCATCTTGGCCATTTTTCCCAGCAGGTCCTTGGTGTCCTTTATCTCCGGGGAGTCCTGGCAGTCCAGGTGGTCCAGGAGGACCTGCAGGGCAGTCTGAGCAAATGTCCTAAACATGGTGCAAATAGCTTCGTTATGAAGTGCTCAGCTGTTTGAATTCTTCTCTCTCTACTGTGGCGGAGAGTCTTCCTACCTTCAGGTTCAGGTCAGAAAGGTCTGCTGCTTTTCCCTGGAAGAAAGCAGAAGAAAAGCATCACTTAAACAAGATTAGAGGCTGAGTTAAGTGGGAATATTTAAACTTTATTCTCTGGAAGATCATTAAATATTTCTTATAAAAGGAGAAAAATTGTAGATTTATTGATAACAGTCAGTCAGCTGGTTCAAGACCAGAGGAGTAACAAAGTACAAATACTTCGTTACCCTACTTAGAAATTTATAAATCTATATTTTACTGGAGTAATTATTTTTGAACCAATTTTTTTCTTCTATTCCTTATTTATTTTTTTATTGTTGCAATTATCTCTACTTTCTTCTCTTTACATTCTAAAAATAGACTTGTTAGTTTTGTTTCATTGAAGCTCATTTTCGTTATGGCCTGATGGTATTTAGAAAAAATAAAAATAAAAACCATCAAAGTAATTAGTTTCACCCAGTCTCAGTAAGGCACCACATACCAAAATAAATGTTTTTCAAGATGACTGTTTTACGAAGGAGTATTTAAGACAAGGCTAGAGTTTTTTTTCTATTTCGAGAATAAAGTCATAAAATTACGAGAATAAAGTCCTAAAAATAATGAAATTATAACATAAATTTGTACTTTATGACAACTCCTACAAGAAGAACTTACTTCCCTAAAAAGATAAATGTTGAGCATTATGTGAAGTTATACTTTGGCTCTGGTTTAACAAATAGATGCTGGTCGGAGCGTAAAGCTTTCTTTCTGAAACGGGTTGTTGTATGATGACTTCATTCTCATAATATTACGACTTTCTTCCTGTAATGTTACAACTTTATTCTCGTAATATTATGACTTTATTCTCAAATAAAATATAAAAAAATCTCTAGCCTGGCCCTAATACTCCGTCTTACTGTTGCCTTTAATTATAAAACTAAGAAAACTAATTCTAAGGAATTTATCATCCAGAATTGTAGTAAAATGTTCCTTTATTGAAGTAGTGCAGTAAGGTTTAAAGCATCTTTCCTTGACATTTTTCCTGCATTACCTAAAGTAGTTTTAAAAATGGTTCTTTTACACTTTTATTTGAGTAAAAAGCTTAAATTAATACTTCTAGAAAAGTGTTTTGAAACAGTAGGATTTCTGCTTCTACTGGAGTAATAAATTTTAATACTTTTGATACCTGTGTTACGACAGAGAAGCAGGTAAAATCAAACTGACAGCTCCAGTGTTGTCAAAATGTGTTCAAATACAAAAGGCTTTTACTTTTAATTTTGTTTTGTCACCTTTCACTGTTTGAGGTGATCAAGCAAATGTATTAAAGAAGACTTATATAAATGTAAACATTTAGTTTTTAAGTAAGAATGTTATTGATTAAGGGCAGGGATGATTAAAAAACATGGAAAACAACAACAGAAACAACCTGGGACAGAAGGGAAACAGTTACTGACATCGCTTCATGGAGTGACATCCATGAGTTATCCGTATTAACAGGAGAAGCGGCGCAGATGAAGTTAGACACTGTCATCAGACAACATGCGGTAATTTATAAATGTTTTAAATCAGGTTGGGTCTGGATTAGCCAGCAGGTGGGTCCGGATCCGGTCCCGGTCCGCTAATATGTGACCTCTGCCCTAACTGTTTTCTTTTTATGTCCCTATAAAACCCTGAGCAAACGTATGAATGCAATACTTTTCTTTATCCTCTCATTTCCCATGAGATTATCTGTGCAAACAGGTCATTTTTTCTTTGTTAGTGTTTCGTCTAGGCTGAGATAATCCACCTGCCACACAGGAGGAGCCTATCAAGATGCTAATCGGACAGCATGATTATTGCATGGGTCTGCCACACAGCATCACAATGAAAGTCTTCACAGATCTCAGCATTTTTGTTTTACTGTTGCAGAAACATTAAGAATTTAAAAACTGTAATCATTAAAGCAATATCTTATAGACCTGTTATATTCCACATGTTAACAGGACTCTCTGATGTCGAATAAGGATGTTGCCTCCAGTTTAAATAAAGAAGGTCTCCAGGCATCCTCTATATACTGATCTACTCATGGTTGTATATCTGTGGGGGGGACTGGGAACAGACACCACTGTATTACAGAAAAAAGGTATTTGCATTGAACCACATGATCAGGAACCCAGAAAGAAGGAAAGAAAAAAAAAACACTTATCTAGTTCAGCTTAAGCTCCTTCTGGTGAGCTACTGAGGAACTTGTACTTTATTTGTTGGACTTTGTTAAACAAGTAATTCCGTAAAAGTTTAAAAAACAATCCACTGGACTTGGTTTCCAAGATTTGAAGACGTTTCGCTACGTCTACAGGAAGCTTTCTCAATT